AAAGAAGGAATAAAAGCTGTATTACAAGGATTTAATTGCGCGATCGATCCATAAAATTCGACGTTACATTTTTGATCGGTAATTAGAACGCTGATACATAAGCGCTAATTCAGCAAAGATGGCTGGCAGAAAAACGAGATATTACGCGAAGCCAAAATGCGGGCGCGGATCATTAGTAATTCTCGTTAGTTGACTCTGATTTGTATAATATTTTTATTATACGTTTATAACTATATATTTATTCTACATATTTATTACTTATTTTCTTTTTTGATATTATAGTTACTAGTAATGCGTCACGAGAGACAAAGGCGACGTCTTGCAGAAATTCGGGCAAGCAAAATAATGAGACGGACAATAAGGGATATGCTTGATCCTTTTGATTTGCCCGAAACTCAGTTCGTGGGCATGTATCGATTAACCAGAAATATGACTAGAGCTCTCATAGAAGAATTAGAACCACATCTTCCAATAAAAAAGAGTGCTTTGGCAATTCCAAATGAATTAAAGGTAAAAAAAATATGTAAATAGTTTTGGTATTATTAATTAATAAAATATTGTATTATACATGTGTATGATTTTTATTCATTCAAACAGATACTGTGTGCTCTAAACTTTTATGCTCAGGACAGTTATCAAAAAGCAGTTGGAGTGGATAGTCGGTTAAGTATAGCTCAGCCTACTGTAAGCATAATTCTAAAGGAAATTACATCTGCCATAAATCATCATTTGCTGAGGCGATGGATATATTTTCCAACAACTCCACAAGAGATGCAGGAGATTATACAAAGGTATATATTAACAATTAGAAGCTTTGAAGTATTGCACTTTATTGTATTTATAAAAAATAACAACAGGATTTGTAGTAAACAATGCAAAAACATTTAAACATAAACATTTAATGAAGGGAAAAATTTGTTCATATCATTCAGTCTTCAATATTTAATTGTCGAACATTTCTTCCTCTTCTACATTGCTACTTTGTACCTAAAAAAAATCACAAGAGAAAACGTAATCAATTAAAACATGTATTTTTTTCAGAAATTACATCAATACTAATATTCCAGGATTATTAGGATTGATAGATGGAACAAATGTAGCCATAAGATGTCCTAATGTGCACGAAGGATTATACCTTCTGTATAAAAAGTACCGGGAATCGTTAAAAAAAAACAGAATATTTTATTTATTCATCAAAATTTATTTTGTCGCCTTCAAAGTAATCCCCATCGTTTGCAATGCACATGTGAAAACGGCGAAACCAATCTTCCATGCACTTCTGGTAGGCCGATTCTGGTATGGCCTTCAGGACACGCTGCGAATTCCGTTTGATGTCATCAATCGATGAAAAACGAGTACCACGGAGTGGCAATTTCAGTTTCGGGAAAAAAAAGAAGTCGCACGGTGCCAAATCAGGCGAATACGGTGGATGGTCGATAGAATTGACCGAGTTTTTGGCCTTGTAATCGGTCACAATCGTGGCTCTGTGCGCCGGCGCATTGTCGTCGTGTAAAATCCACGAATTGTCTCGCCACAATTCGGGCCTTTTTCGCCGGATATTTTCGCGTAAACGCCTCAAGACACTTAAATAATAGTCTTTATTGACTGTTTGGCCCGCGGGGAGAAATTGCCAACCTAAAAAAAAAACATTTTACCGCTACCTCTTCCGCGGTTCATTTAAATGACAATTTCCCGGTACTTTTTATACAGAAGGTATATCAATAGAAAAGGTTACCATGCACTCCATGTGCAAATTGTAAGTACAATTTCAATTACCAGTATTTATAGTCGGTTTCTTATTGTAAAATCGTCTTAAGGCTCCTGAGTAGTCACTTCAGGCTCATAAAGTGAAAATAGGCTACGCATGTGCATTGAGTAAAAACTAGTGAACACACTTTACGTACTTTTTGCGACTGCTTACTGATTGTCAGGAGAGGTAAGAATAGTCCGTCCATTTTTACTAGTGCTTTAAAGTGATCTTATCATTTCGTTTCATTCACATTTTCTTTATTTATAAATGGCATGTAGGAAAAATCAACGTGTCGCTAATTATAACACATCTCACTTATGACGTCACAATTCGATATGGCTGCAGTGAGTACTCAGGAGCCTTAAGTAAATGTTTTAAAATGATAGGACGACTTTATGATTGACTTATGATATCTTTATACTGTACTTAGGACGATCTTAAACATAAAAACTATGCCAACCAATGTAATTTATATTTCTTTATAGCAATTAGTAATATTAATAATTTACAATATTTATAAATTAATGTTATGAAATAACTATTTCTTACAGATATGCGATACGAATCTAGAAATAATAAATATATTGGCAAGATATCCAGGCTCTAATCATGATTCTTTCGTATGGAGAAATAAGATGTTACCAAAGATCTACAAAACTGTAAATAATAAGATGTTACCAAAGATCCACAAAACTGTAAATAATTTAATGCGAAACATATTCTGACTTTAGAATTTGAGAGATCCAGGTTCAAGTTCCAGCTGAGGGAATATTTTCCATTATAAATTATTCAGTTTTTAAGATCTTTAAGTAAGACACTAACATCTTATTATTAATATTCTCATAAAGATCTTTATTAGCATGGAAAACTGTTTAATTACATGTCAATTTAATGTGATAATATTATTCTGATTCTATTCATGATTGCATTCAAGATCGAAAGATTTCGTGTTTATAGAACCAGATATATAAATTCATATGATACTGATATATTTAAGCACTAAGATCCACCTTGACCATAAATTGACTTTCTTTCTTAATTATATAATACATATAATATTTATTTATACCTTTATCCATTTATCGGTGGATTTGGTTGCACCATTCCCACAACTATTTAACAGATTAGTTAACTGTTCTCACAAAGTAGTCATTCGTTTCTTAGCATCTAAGCCTTCCCAAGTAACACATGAAGCTTTAAAACGTCTG